GCAGGAACTTCTGCCTTCTCAATCTGCTTTGTACACATTTCATACGTGGTCCCAGGTTGCTGACAATTTGGAGCCACAGCTCCCTCTGGAACTTGGACTTTCCCTCTCAGAGCCCCTAAAAGCATTACTGAAAGCAAGAAAAGCATTTAAAGAACTAGGAGATGTACAACTAAAAAATACCCTCTGTATAATTGTAACAGACCTTAGAGTCTAATGGAAAAATATATATCGATTTTAGCAAAACACTTTTAAAAATAATGTATAAGTGATTGCTTAAGTTTTGAAATTATATTAATATATTAACTAAATCAAAAACACTGATTATTTTCTTCGTCTCAAAATAATGAATGAAATTTGTTGCGGTCTCAGTGCAACAAATGAAGAACCAAATAATCAAAATAAGGAAGTTCATTTAACAAGACATCTCGCATTTGGTGATCAGATTATATCTGATCACTACAGAGGATGCCACCTAAGGGGCAGGGGGAGAGTAAGAATAATTTTGAGCCTTAAGGAACTCATCAGAAAGCTCCTCCTATGCTCTCATTTATCTCAATTTCTTTTGTTGCTTACGTGATGACCTTTTGCCAGGCATACTTGGAATTGAAAGGCAGTCTCTCATGGAACAGAGTGTAGAGCAATAGCATCGGGCGACAGCATCAAAAAATCTAGTCAGCAGAAGTCATTCATTTACCTTACTTCAAGAGCTTCCTCTAGGCTCACATTTGTTTTTCGTACACTCGGACTGCAAATCCCACCATGTTCCTTGGCATCCTGGGTCTCTGCTCTGTCATCCGAAGGGTCGTGAGCACGGCCTCACGTTGGATGGTTCTAGCAAGGCAGACGGACGAAGGCAGCGTCAGTGTGCAGCCAGGTGTCTAGGGAAGGAATGTACACTCCCAGAGGGAGTGCCAGCTCTCCCACCTGTGTCACCCTGGAACGTTAACTTTTTTAAGCCTGTGCAATAGAGATAACGGAATCAACCTCTCATGATTCTGAGGACGGAGAGAGGATTAAATTTTGGAAGGGCCTGAGAGAACAATCGTGAGCACTAGTGCTCCGTAGGTAGTTGATAAATATTTGAATCTGAGTGAGGCAACAACTCTATCATCCATGGCTCTGTGCTGATAACATGCAAACCGTGATCAGTGTTGGTGTATGAGAAGCTCAGTTACTGAGGAAACCCCCTCATCCCCCTCCAAAAAAATGATCCTGTTCGTATGCTCCAAGCCCATCGAGATAACGTATATTACCAGCTCTGTTGTGTTCTACAGTATCACCGCTATTTTCTTTAACGTAGCTGCTAAATGCCAATGGGAATTGTCCTAGCTAAGTTTATTTACCTTATTACTCATCTAGTGGAGAACCATATGATGCAGGCACCCATAATATGAGAATAGAATAAGGATGATCAAGAATGTATCATGATCATTCCAGTGACTAGGGAGAAAGTCGAGTGACGTAAATTCTTACTCATAATTAGGATTAAATTATAGCCATTTTAATAATTTCAAATATATTACTATTATTGCAATTTTATTTTCAAAGTATGGATCTACCTTATCCCATGCTATTTTCTGATACTCTTGGATGAAAATCCATCCCAGTATATTATTTCTATGAATCTATACCTTCATTTATTTTTCTAATTTTACTAATGAGGAAACTGAGGCTCAAAGAAGTCTCTAGCACGAAGCTCAGCAGAGCCTCTAGGTCTGATGCCTGGGTTTTACCCGTAGAGATTCTGGTTTAACTGATCTGCACTGGCATCTGGGCGTTGGGACTTTTAAAAGCTCTCAGGCGATTATAACATGAGACAAAGATTGAAAACCTCTGTCTTAGTGGAAAGGACTGTTTTAAAGAAGTCAAAGGTAGTAATTTATCTGATTCAAGACTTCCTATCACCTTCCTGGCCTTTCCATTTCAATTTACATCCTTTATCTCACCTACCCACTCTTGAAAAAACTACTACTAAGCTAAAATACTCAAAAAGTATGAAGAATAAGAAGAAAAAGGAAAAACAAGAGCCTGGATAATCTACCAAGATATTCCATGCAAATAAAAATCATTCATCTTGTGCTGCCAGAATTTGTTAGAAAGTGAGAGACCCCCCAATGATACTGTAATAATAAATAAGACCACTTATCTGTATTCACAAATCGTGAACGATGAGTGGGAATTCCACTTTCCGCTTGGGCATCTTATCCTCTCTTTTTTCCAAGGTAGATCTTAATTTACTTTACAGTTTCTCCCCAAGAAGAAGAGTAGACAGAGAGCATGCGTGGGGCCAAGCGGAAGGGAGTCAGAGTCCTGGGTACCGCACAGCTGGGATGGGGACCGGGAGTCACGGGGCTGCACGCTGGGATGCGACATGGAGCTGCTATTGAAGAGAGAGTGCTCCGTTGCTCTTGGGATTGTTTAAAGCTAAATCAGAATATTCTGGTGGTAGAACGCTCAAGACTGCCATGTTTTTCGTAAGTTTACTGATATTAGTGATAGACTCTGGCAATGGACCGAAAACCGGACCCATGATTCAAAAACAGAACTCCATGAGGGAGGAGGGTTTTCTGAAGCATGCCCTCTGAAATGGTCTCCCTGAGGAAAGAGGGGACCTCACTCCGCTGAGTGACTTTGCATCCAAGCCCCCGCACCCCTTCCCACAACACCCCAAAGTCCACTAGAGAAATGGAGACTGGGGGCCCAGGTCTCTTTCAGACAGCTGTGAGAGTTCGTTTTCCATTTTGCAAACTAATTTTGTTCTTGTCGGTTGCAATGCTCTGCCAAGTGGTGGATGGGAATTTCCAAATCCAAAACCACTAACCTCAAACCACAACCAGCCTGTGTCAAACCAGAAAGTACTCCCAGAAATGACATGCCAGAATGTATGCTACTAACGCAGCTATTTGTGACATACTTCCAGGTTTGTCACGTTTAGAAAATGCATAGCACATTTTTGGCACACAATCTATTCAAAATAATGACGATAAAGATGTACATATTAAAATGTATGTTTTTAATGGCGCTATTTATTTTATTGATGCAAGACAGTAAATTAGCTAAATCTCCATCATCAATCCGTATGCCTCAGGTAGACATTAGGTCCTTGCAAAACCAGCTGTTTATGTCTTTAAAGCCTTCGAAATTGATATAGAAACTGCAGACTTTTCCGTCGCTGCGGAGTGTGTGTGTGTGTGTGTGTGTGTGTGTGTGTGTGTGTGTGTTTGTGTGTGTGTGTGTGTGACCTTCTCTAGCTGAGACACTTTATTTCATTGGGAACAAATCCGGGAAGGTTTTAAGATTTATGAAGTCGAAAGCATCTCTGACAACTCGTGAGGGCTGTTTCACTGCTTTCAATGCTTCAACATGAACTGATAGCCCAAGGGAAGCTGAAACCTTCACGAGAATTTAAAGCTGGAGGCCCGAGCCCCCGGGCCTCAGCATCTAAAAGAGTTGTTAGGAGTCCTGACAAGAGATTAGGACCAGGACAGGGCAGGAAGCCATAACAAAGTCCATTGTGAGAGTGGTAAGAAAACGAACTCTTAGTTCAAGAACTGGCAGGGAAAAAACCTAGGTAAAGGGAAATTTCTGGGGAAGTGAGAGGAGACAGGATTGAGCGGCGAGGGGTGACTCTCCCTCAGTAAGGTAAGGAGGGGCTGCCCCTGTGGAGTCCCTGTGACTTGTTTTCTCTATGTTTGCACCCAGGCTGCTAAGCACAGCCCACACTGCGACCGGGGCGACTCCGTGTCATCCGGTGTCAGCACCACCTTCTAGCACCGCCTGCTCCTCATGGGGTCTGAGAGTCCGGCCCCAATGGGTCATGGCGCCACGCCTCAGATCAGTGGACACCCAGACTGTCCCTGATGTCGGCACTTCCTCTGGGTCCCCTGAAGCGCTCAGCGTCCCTTCTACTGGCCTCCATCCGAATGCTGTCCAGGCTCCGTTCAGGCCTGTGTGAATGTTCTGTGTTTTTTGTCAGCCCCTAATTCAACCCTCCTTCCTCCTCGCTACTGTACCACTTTCGTCACGGAGAAGAAGACTCACTGAGTCCCTTCGCTTAACACTTTGGGGGGCCTTCCGTAACAGATGCCATGTTAATGAATGCCCTTGGCCGATGCACTGTGGTGCGATGAGACGCACAGACGTCTCAGGCCTGGTTCAGTCCTGACTCAGCCACGCTCTAGCTGTGTGACTTTGAGCACATTGTTTAACCTCGCCGAGCCTCAGTTTGCTCATCTTCAAAATGGGACTCATAAGGCATACTTAGAGGATAATCTGAGGATTAAGGCCATCTGTGTAAATCGTTAGCACAGGGCCACATAATCGTTACCACCGTGTAACCTTCCTCTCCCTGCCTTTCTCTTTTAACTTGGTTCCTACTCACCTCAGAACAGGCCTCACCTCTCTCTCCTCACTTCGTTTTGCCTCAGAGAAAGAGGGAAACCTGCCCCCCACTACAGACGGCTTCATATCCCCCTCCACCTGCCCCTCACACCCATCGTCCCCTCTCTCCTGTCTTCCAACTCTTCCTTTCCACTGGCTTCTGATCCTGAGACTACAAATATGCTCTTGGGTTTTTTGTCCTAAAGAGAAAAACCTTCCTTAGATCTGCTTCTTTATCATCTAAAGCGCATACAAATCACTCTCTCTGAAGTAGCCTGAAACTCTATTAAGAGATGACTGGGGTCCATCTGTAGTCTTCGGGGTGGGGCCTAAAGGGGCACCACTGTGTCAGGCTGCCCCTTTCATTCAGGCAGAACTCCAGACCGTGCTGGGTATCTGATTCTAATATCTGAAACTTTCAGTAAAGGCACATCGTTTCATCTTTTATCAAATATTTAAAATACTCCTAAAATCCTAACTTAGATTCCAAGGGCCTGTTGTTTCATTTACCATTTAAAAGAAAAAAAAAAAAAAGTGTTTTACCTGCACCATTGAATTGGCCCTTGTGTCTCACACTCTGGGCTTCAAAATCCTAATTCTTTGTGAATATCGCCCAACTTCTCTTCCACTGGCAGCATCGGGAGGCAGGTGCTGCCCTGTACGACTGTCTGAGTGTGGGGCATTCGTCCTCCACACTTACGTCCCTCCTACTGAGAAGCATCGTTTTGTTCCTTCTCGAGACTGAGGCTTCAGTCTTTGGATCTTTTTGGTACCCGCTCGGTATTCGGTCTTTTTTTGTTCTTTCAGCCTTCTCTGCTATAACTCTTTCACATAAACTCTTACTAGGAGATAAACTGGTTGACTGTTGGGCAAACAAACGTGCCTGTGGCTTCCCGCTCACACACACCCGTACGCGAAGACTCACCTTCCCTCCTCTCTACCTGTCAATCATCTCTCCATCCTTAAGGACCAGGTCAGAGCCCAGTCCTCATGAAGCCTGCGCTGACTGTTCACCACTGAAAATACGTCATCTGTCCTCTGAGCTCCTTCAGTGTTTCTAGCCGAGCGTGAGGCTACACTGCTTTCTAACGGCTCTGTCTCATCGCGTTGACCTGCTTTACTATTTGACAAGGTGTGTTCATGCTTTGTCTCCCAATTAGCCCGCAAGGTTCTGGTGGGCAGAGATCATTTCTCCCCCTGCCCCTGTCTTCCCTAATGTAGCCTGGACGTAGTGGGTACGTCATAGGTCTATGTTTCCATTTTCTCTCCAAGAATCATCCCACCGTTACCCTCATCGACCTTCACTGTATTTCTGATTCTTTCCACAAAGCAGAATTTTTTTTTAAACTTTGAATTCACTCAGCATCATGGGAAAGTCTCCTTCCTCCAGCTTCGGTTTCATATGTGACTTAATAAGCATAATAATTTTTCTTCCTTTAGCCATTAGCAAATCAGTCCAAGAATATCGTAAACTGGGTCTCCACTGTGTGCTTCTGTTAAAGATGACAGAAGTCATGGGAGACGTGGTCCAAAAGAGCAAGAGTTCATATATTTATAGTTAACACGTGTATCATGAAAAAGCATTGGGAGTTTCCACAAGAATCGTTATAGTAGGTTGTGCTTAACAGGGGATAAGTGTTTCGGAACAGGTGATTCAGACCCGAATTATAGAGAACAAGAGGGACGACAGGGTGCGTGAGAGCAGAGCCAGGGCCTGTGTCCGCTCGCCGCTTTTCCTCACCGCTTACAGTAGGGCCTAGCCCGCCGTAGACGTGAAGTTGGTGTCGTCTAAATGAATGAAGAGCTACGTGCCGAAAGCGGTCAATCCCACGCGGAGAGTCCAGGTTCTGCCAACGCGCGAGCACGTCGTGCTTGGGAAGCCGCAAACTCGCTTTCCTGGGCGAGGCCAAGAAATTACGTGCAACACGACGGAGAAGAGGGAAAATGATGAACGGCATTGAAGTCCTGCCAGGAATTTTGGTTTTAACAGAGAGTCACACTTTATTATCCGTTCATTCATTTATCCCACGAATATTTATTAAGCATCTACTACGTGCCAAAGCACCATGTTAAGACCTGGGGGTTCTAGGGTGAATAAAACAGTCTGTTTCCAAGCTTCCCAGGATCGTGCAGCCTTTTCATCATGAATTAGCAAGCGCTGGCATATACTTATGTGTCCGGCTATTGTTATTCAAACAGTATTTAGCTAAGGAGAGTGGTCTGTCCAGCCTCTATCATAGACGGAGTCACAGACTCCAGCAGAGAGCAGAGAAGCCTTCATTAAATGAACTCCAGTGTGAAGTGTGTCATAATAACAGATGATTCGAAGACAGCAGGGAGGATTTAAAAGTTGAGGAAGAACTCTCTGCCTTGAAGTTGTCTGGGATTATAGAAAGGCCGACCGGGTAGTTATGGAACTGGCCTGAGTTTATTTACAGGCCCACGCAGGAGTCCAAGTCCATCAATTTTCTTGGCTATGGGTCCGAATGATGGGATTAGAGTTCGATAAAACTCTTGGGTCAGAAAAAAAAGGTATTTACATTGATTTTTTTTTTTTTTTTTGGTTGTTCAGATTAACTTGCTCTTTGACATGTGTCCCTAGAGCCATGACTGATATTGATTTTATTAGAAACCGAAAGCAGAAATAAAAATTTTTATTTAGAGACAAAACTCTGAGGGTCAGATGACACAGCAAATTGATTTTAGGGCAGATGTGGAAATGAGCGAGGCCGTGGAGCAGCGCTTCCCACGAAAGACGCTGGTCGGTTTACGAATTTTATGAATCTTATGAATTTTGTGAATTTCAAGATCACTGCCTGTTACTAGAAAATCTGGCCTCATTTTCCATCTATCTCATTTTTTCTTTTTCTCCTTTTTTTGTTTCTTTTTTTTTTTTTTTCCTTCTCAGGATAGTGGCCTCCCAGAAAATGAACATCAGCTGTCAGTAGCTGGAAAGATAAAGAAGCATTTCAACACGGGCCCCAAGCTGAATAGCACAGCAGCAGGAGTTTCTGTCATAGCAGTAAGCATCTGAAATATCCACCTATAACTTTTTAAAAGCAATCCACCTAGGACACAGGCGTTACTCAGGAGATTCCACCCAGAGACAGCAGAATGGGTCATTTCTTTAGACAGCTCGACCATTTAAAGCACCGGGGGAGCTGGGGGCTCGAATGCATTATGGGTTTTTGCTGATGGTTTCCCAAGGAGTCACATCGTTATCCAACACCTCCAGGGCGTCTTACGGTTTATATTAATTTCATGATTTATTTTTTAGAGCAGAAAACCTCCCCCATGCTGGACTCAGTGCCAATGCAAACTTTTGGGCTCTGAGAAAGAGTCCATAGAGTCCTTTGCCAGGACCTGGGAGGGAAGGGAAGCTGAGGGAGACGACATTACAGAGATCGAAACACTATAGATCTTTGTACGAGACCCAAACGAAAGCCAAAACAGAGCAGAAAGCTTACACAGTGAGATTTTCAGGGAGATTGAATTGCTGTGAACACCCAAAGAAAGCATGATGTCTTGCTCCTTAGGAATTTTATTTTTTAAGGTTGAAAGTCTTTTAACGTTTACCATTTTGTTGATGCGGCTGCACAAGGATTTTTTTTCCGTCCTATCCACGCCGACATACACTACATGCGATCTGAGAGCAGCTCTAGGCAAAGACTAAATTGGGCAGAGAAATAATGAAACCTCATACTTCCTGGTGTCATATTCTAGAGTAAATATATTCAAGTCCCAGATTACTTGAGTTTTTAATCATTTCCTCTTTTTTCAGCATATGTACATTTTAACAGCATATTAAATGTGAAATCACTTAAGCTGTTTTTCTTTCTAAACAAAGAACTTAGATACTATGATGTTGAATTTTAAAAAAGTAATTATGCTACTAAACAGTACTTCATGCTCACGGGCAATACTGAATATTAACTACTACTACTTCGAGCGTTTTATTTTTTTCTTTCTTTTTTTTTTTTTTTTGGTTGTGCTG